ACCTAAGATAAATCGTTTTTAAGGTAAAAATCGCTAGGAGCAAGTTCTGAAGATATTTGTAATGCAAAGAAAATGTTTCGTTGAAAAAACAGTTTTTGTTGAACCATTGACACAAAAACATTTTCAAATTTATTATTTCACTATAATACCTATCCAGTTAAGGGCTCGAACACACTGACGACCAGGTCGCACCGGCCAGGCCGCAGCTTCCTCTAATACCATTAAATCAAATGATATAGCGCACACTAACGTCCTGGCCGTTCGTTGGTCGTTGCGACCAGAAGACTGCACGGAAATATTACTATTTTCTGCCGCTTGTTGCCGGTTTTCTTCCAAATTAATAATTTTTCAGATGAAATCCCTCAAATTCAAGGCACAATATTTTATTTTCTATAAAATATAGTGTTTTAGTGTAGTTTTTGCACACGTGCAGAAAATCCAAAGAAATAGTATACCAAGTATACAGACTGGATCAAAGGTAAACTTAAATCTAATGCCTTTTTTTATCAAGAGTCGATTCTAGTAAAAACTCAAAACATTTTTATGACATACCTACTCTATTTATGGTTGGTATGATACCTGTTATTATACCTTTGAGTTTCGATGTTAAAAAATAAAAAAAAAATAATATTTAGTTTTTCTACAACAACTAGTTTTTTTTTATTAAATTAGTTTTTTTAGTTGTATTGTAGTCATGTACAAGGAGGCCAACTGTATTTTAAATAATATATTTAATTTAACGTTTTTCAAACAGGGTTCTTTAGACTATATTTCTACTAGATACATTATTTTGAAAAAAAAATAAGAAAGTAACTTAAACGTTCATAAAAATAGAAGTAATTAGTGTTGTAGATTCTTCGTTATATTGTAAACATTGAAATAACTGGAAGCTAAACTTTCTACTTGCTTATATTTAGAGCCAGTGTCTGACGATCTTTTTTTACGATGGCCCTAATATATTTACTTCTAAAGTCGATAAGGGCGCCATATCAGTAGAAAAAAGAAACAGAATATCTCCCTTTTTGTCGGTCGCGCGTACACAATGCTTTTTGTTTGTTGTGAATAGCAACTTCGCTTTTTAGTTAACTCGGATATTTTAACATTTCTGAAACAATATTTTCTAATTGGTAAAACGTAAAAAATCGTTAGATTTGACAACTCTGTTGAAACTGGTCGTTCATCTGGCCGCAGCTAAAAACGCAATACATCCGGCCAGCCGACGGCCAGATCGTTGCGATCTGGTCGTCAGTGAGTTTGAGCCCTAACATGTTTAATATTTGTCAATGATTTATGAATCCTAATACCTTGAGAACCATTACTGATAGAGATTTTTTACCAAGAGACCTTTTTTTTACCTAAAAAACGGTGGAAAATATATTTTTCTCAATAGTATAATACAATTACGGTCAAAAAGTTATTACGCTTCAACACAGTTAAAACGTATGTAGGTGGCGCCCCCTACCAGCAGTAGGAATCATACTGGCATCGAAATCGAATTTCTCATGTAAAAAAACTAGTGATGGGATAACTCGATCGAGAATTCGCTCGAGTACTCGATTATTGAAATAACCGACATCGCTCGATTATGAACGAGCGATGCAAGTGAGGAGTTACGAGCGACGAACGCAAGCGATCCTAGAATAAAATAAATTGAAATCCGATTTTAATGTATTCGATTATTGAAACTAATCGGTTTTTCCCATCACTAAAAAAACGAAACGCCAATTTTCGTCCATATATGGACGTTAGTTCAGAAATTATTTGGAAAAAATCGAAATAAAAATGAATTTTCATCAACCTGCATCTCAAAAAACGCAGGATTTTTTTATACAAACTTTTTTACTTATTTTTATCTGCAGAATATGTTGGCGAAGTTTCCCGATTACGATTCGGACCAGTGGCGGACTAAGACTGTCGGGGGCCCGGGGCGGCGAAGCTAAATGTGGCCCCGGTCTGTTTAGATAATGATATACTTCTAATGTACATTTTGTAAAAATTGAGTGACGTATGTATAATGGTTGACAAAATTCAAGTATTTATACAGGGTGTCCCAGGCTGTACATGTTCCTGTACCTAAAATAAATTATTATTAAGTTATTTAAGATTTAGCTTTAAAGCGTATATGTTTGATTTTAACCAGAAGCCTATGACAGTATATTATCGATCATCATTTCCAAGCTAACTTTGCGCTGTTTTTTTTTCGATCTTACGGTATATTATTAAAATATCAACTATTAGATATCACTAAATGAAAATACAAGATATACAAGATATATTATTTATATAAATACACTTTTTAAACTTTTAAGCAGATGTATAGTTATAATATAGGAAATTCAAATAATTCATTTTTCTGACAGACGGAAATAAATTGTCTGACTGTTTTTACACTTAATATCAAAGGGAAGCTAGATAAAATCAAGAAAAATATACATTTTCAAACTAACCTTAAATAACTAAAACGATTTATTTTAGGTATAGGAATATGTCTATATACATTTTCAAACTAAATCTTAAATAACTTAAAAACGATTTATTTTAGGTATAGGAATATGTCTAGTTTAAACGTAACGAATTGGAAAACCCTTTCACTAGTGAAATAAAAAAAGTGGGTTTCCATTTGAAAAAAAAAATATTTATGAAAATTTCACACCTCTACTTTTCAACCAATAACATGCTTTAATGTTGACTAGTTACCATGGCAACTGAAAAAATTTCCGGAAATTTTTTCGAGGCGCCACGAAACTTTAGTGGAAATTTTTTGACAGTTGAAAAGGTAAACATAAGATCTACAATCATAATGTGAATGAACTACAATGTCTATATATTGAAATATTACCCATTTGAGTTTTAGCATTTGATGTAACTAATTAAAAATATAATAACATTTGTTAATATTATTAACAAATTGAAATTATTTTAAAATGTCATGTTGGATTAATATTTTTTTTTTCAAATTTAGGTAAAATTTTTCTGTACGTTTTCAAACTAAATCTTAAATAACTTAAAAACGATTTATTTTAGGTATAGGAATATGTCTAGTTTAAACGTAACGAATTGGAAAACCCTTTCACTAGTGAAATAAAAAAAGTGGGTTTCCATTTGAAAAAAAAAATATTTATGATAATTTTTTAATCGCTCAATTCCATGACAGCTACCGCCATTATTATATGACATTTGAACAATTTAATTTTTGAAATAGATAGCCACATGTCTTTTCTTTATGTCACAGGGGCTGTGATAATCACTAAATTTGACTTTTAAGCTGTACAAATTTTTTTGTCAGGTAGTTTTTTTCGTCCAAAAATTTTAAATATTTTTTTCTTAAAAATGCTTCCAGGGAAATACCGCGACAAAATATTGCCATTTTGTAAGTCCTCCAAGATCCGAGGGGCCCCTTCGCTGTCTCAGACCCGTGGCCCCCGTTATACCAAAAACTTCTTTCACTGCTAATCAGTAATGTTTATTCAGTAAAAATAAATATTGAAACCATTGAAAAATAACTTAAAAGTTAAAATAAATAAATTCAGTCTGAAAATAATATAAAAAATAATAATTATTCGATATTTCCTAAATAGAAAATGCCATTGACAATTACTGGGGCCTGATAATTGATAATTAAGTAAATATCTGCTTCGATTTATACTGTTTATAGTTGGCGTATACGTATGGTTTGCATACTCCACCTACAAACTGCTTTATAACTACTGAACACATATTGGCCTTGTTTGCCAGTTGAATAAAAAATTACTTATTACGATGCGGAGGCCCCCTAAAAGACGGGGCCCGGGGCGGACCGCCCCTTTCCCTCCCCTTAGTCCGCCACTGATTCGGACCACCCTGTATATCTCGAAAACTTATCTATCTATCTACCCATACCTCGCTGGAATGCATTTTGCATCCCGTCTTCTCCCTTAGACTATGCCTATGACAAGTCGATCGCGAATCGCGACACACATTTAAGCTAAAAAGTCGATCTATATACAGAAAAGTTGGCCTTAGATGATGTGTGTTAAATACATATGTTGTCAAGAATAAGTTTAATAGAGGAATATTTATTTTGTTTTGTTTATTAACATATTTTAGCTTTATAAACAAGATGATTATTTTCAGTTCAAAATAAAATTGTATAAACAGATAAAAGTTTAAAGGACGAATATAAATACATATTTGTTGTTGAGTAATTTCGAGTGAAAAGTTGTTTATTTATAATATTAAATTAAAATACCAAATATTAAGGTAAATGCGGATTAAAATTAATGTAAATACAATAATTGATAGAATTACAAGACTGTGTTAACTGAAAAATGACAAGCTATTCATATTTCTTTGTTTATCTGTGTATTAACTATTAACTAAATGCATAATATATTTAGGCACATAGAACATTTAATTAATTCTTTTATCAATTTTATATATTTTTTATTTACAACTGAACAAAATTAATTATTAGTTTCTTTTTAGTGATATAAATAAAAAATGTTTACATTGCATATAATTACGATTCATATCATTACTAATTTTATCTAATAGTGTCTTTATTCTTGTTCAAGAGAGTAATCATTTTAAAGGCAAATTATTAATTTTGTTCCAATTGCTTTAAACTACGCCTACAAGCGATTTACCAAATGTTATAGAAGTTCTCTAATTAATGAAATCTAAGGTAAGGAAATGAACAATTGTGCTAAAGGTTCATTTAACTTAAATATTTGAATTATCAGTTACTAGACTCATAAACTAGTCTTCTGATGAAATAATGTAAACTTAGTTAAATTATCATGAAAAGTAAACTACTATAAGTATGTATTGATTTGATATAGAAAACAAAAAATTGAAATTAAAAGGAAAACATATAAACTACACGATTTTTGTATAACTAAATAACAAAACATAATATTTTATGTGTTAGAAGGAATACAATTTCATATGATTTACAACTTCTATTTTTACTATCACACTAAATGGAATTGTCTACAAGGCCTTATAATAACTTTTCTTACCCTTAATTAAAAATCTCACAAAACAGTTTGATCGACATATTTTAAATGTATCTGTTGTGGATTGTTATAACATTCATTTTCGTTTACGCAACTTTAAACATTAAAAGTATTTTAAGAGTTTATTATTAATTTGGAATATTTTTCTATTTTCATACACCCTTCTGTTTCTGACAAGTTGTCATCATAATGTCATGTCACAAGTCATTTCATATGTCACTTCATCTTAGACATGGAAAGAGAGGGGACAGGTCAAGGATACTATATAGAGATAAGGATAGTTGGATTCCTATCTTCCTGTATTGTCAGTTTTTTTACGTCGTCTACTGACCGAGTTGAAAAGTTGGCGCTAAAGATTTTAGACAGTGACAGTTATTTTGCATTTGACGGACGAGCACACAGTGCGTTGGAAGATAAAATTAGCGGGACAAAAGCGTTTGGTTAGAAATAAACCAAAAATGTGTACTGATTAGAATAAATAGTAGACATTTGGGTAGTCTAAATATACATGTTCTATTTGTATTTCGATACATTTATCAAAATAAATTTAGTCGTTTCTCCAACAGCAACGCAGAGGTCATACGAAAATAAAATGTTTTACAAGTTCTTATACATTTTATTAGAAAACCAAATATTTAAAAAAAAAAAAAAAAAAAAAAAAAAAAAAATATTATTTATTAAAGATCCTTCATTGCCTTTGTTCTGCGTGAATCAAACTCCCACTTTAGGCTATCGTATATGTCTATAAAACCGTTCTGTTAAGAAAAAGATTATATCAGTTAAACTTCAAATTAACAATTGCAGTACCTGGTAACAATTAATTAATAAGGTAAAGGCCAAAAGCATTAAAACTTTCTGTATGATTATTTTAATTTTTTTACATTTTACTTTTAAAACTGAATCACCAACGTTTTCAACCAAAACCTCTTTATTTTTCTATTTAGATGCTATCCTTCTTTCATTATCATTTTGACGTTATTTAAAATTTGCTCTGTGCCCTAAAGTAGATTATTATATATAAGCATACCTATTATAGTATATTATACTTTCACAGTAATTTTTATCAAAGCCACTTAATGATATTTCTCTCATATTTCACCGTTGAGAGAGCCATAATATGAAATAATAAAAAAAAAAAAAAAAAAAATATTAAAATTTTGAAATACTTTAAATACAAAAAATGTATTTTTAATTCTCCATCTAATAAAATATTAACATAAAAAAAAAAAAAAAAAAAAAAAAAAAAAAAAAAATTATTTTTACATATTTTATAGGTGTAATGTAGAATTGTGTTCAAAATTCTACATTTCTACCTGTGATTTAAAATTACCCGAAATTTATATCAGGGAGTTAAGTATAAGACCATCTAAAGTAAATACCTAATATAGTTTTTGATTTCAGGACAGTTTTTGTATTTGTAATAATTTTTATAAGGAAGATCAAAAATATATAGAATTGGAGTCTTAAATAAGTGCGATATTTTTGGGGGTGGTATAATTTCGACCCCAGGAACCCGTCTATGAGGGTTTTAGCAAAAAGATCATTTTTTTTTTTTTTTTTTTTTTTTTTTTTTTTATGTATATTTTTTTTTTCGAAAACTTCTTTATAGGTATAATTTCTTAATCTCTGATAATTACCAGATTGCAGCTTTACTCTATGGTTTTGAAAACTAGGATGCAATTACAGAAAAAAACCCGGTGGCTGTCAAATTTTTTTCAAAAAAAAATCAATTTTTTTTTAAATTTTCAAACTTAAATAACTCGGTTATTTTGGACTTATCTGAAAAATGGTAATGGCTATGTTTCTTTTACCGAGATCTACCAGCCCTGAAAATATTTGCACTTATTTAAGACTCACCCTGTATTTTTTTATTTATTTTTAATATCTCTGAAATTATTGAAATATATCTACTCATATCTTAGGATTATGTAAAGTGGTCTGAAAAAAAGCCAAAAATGCAATAATATACAAGGTGTTCCATTTAAAAAATCATCCCGATCCATTCACACTTTTTTGAGCCACCCTATAGAAATTAAAATATTTTCCTGAATTACATCCTCGTACATATTTTAGGTTCGCACTTAAACAAAATATTCATTTTTTTATTCTAGGAGCTACAGATGCACGACGCACTTTTGCCGGACCCTGTATTTGGGAGACCTGGGAGAGACTGAACGTCCTCTAAATGTACGACTTAGCGAACACAAATACAAAAAAGTGAAACAGTGAAGTTAAGTTAAGTTGGCGGACCATCTTTTTAACAAAACATAATAAACACTAAAATTAATTAACTAAATATACCGGGTGCGTCTCAAAAGTCAAAAGTGACTCACCCCCTATAACTTTTTTATTTTTTCCTAAAGTTTCCTTAATAGTTCGTTATATTTTACATGACAGTTAAATAATTGATTCGTTGTAAGGTAATAAGTGCTAAACTATATGTATAATCGTGGTAATGTAAGAATCGCTTCGATAGAAAAAAAGCATCTCTACTTGCAACAATAATATTAAAATATCCCTGCAAAATATGGAATATTAGCTTTAACTATTAGTTACATTACATTTAATTAGAGGGATCAGTTTACCATAAATTAATGTTTTTATTTGCTGAACATGTTTTGTTCTAAATCGAATAATAAAAGGTTGCCAGTTTTAACAATATGTCTGTATTTAAACTAAAATGATTATAATATTTCTGTTGTAACGTTTTTAGTTCGTTACATGTCTTTCATATATAATATATGATGTCTGGCGTATCGTCACCCGATTTCGTATTATTCAGGCCGGATAATTTGTTTGACGCGCTTGGCGTAATCTTTACGTTCTCTAGTCAGCAACCCTGCTATCGTTTCACTGCTCTGTGGAGGGCTGTCAAGATCGTTTCAAGGCGCCTCTCTGCGCTTTAACCTCACTTTTGCTTTTGCCGCTCTATGATCACCTTCAGAGCCCTGCTTGGAGAAATTGCAATTATTTAAATCTTGCTGCATAATCTGAATCAGCTGCTATTTCGAAGCTACAGGTAAAGATGAGTTATCTTTATTAGATTCGTTATTATTATTGAATATTTTTAGGGTAGAGTTTTGGATTGGCCCACCTTAATTCGTATTTGTATTTTGCTGACACATTGGTGTTCTTTTGCTTTTGTCCTCCAGAATGTTACATGGAAGAAAGGACAGTTCTTTTGTTTATTATTGAGCCCTCGGAAGTAATTCGAGGTAGGTTTATTTTGCTTAGTAGATCTTGTTTGGTTTTAAACAAGAGTTTCGTATTTTTAGGGTCCAAGGTATGGGCAGGTGTCCCATATATATGTATTGAGTCCAAGGTTATGGTCCAAGGTACGGATAGTGTTTCCTTGTACCATTATCTTATGGACGGATGTCCAAGTTGCAACATTGTCCTATGGTTGGATGCCCTATGTACGGATGTCCTGTGGACGAGTGTCCCCAGTGGGAATGATTTATCTTACATATAAAGTGCCCCAGCGTGGATGTAGCTTGAGCCCCATTCTGCTTCGTTCCCATCTATAAGCTAGTCAGTAGTTACGGCTGTATTAATTCGTGGTGTCCTCATTCTGGCCCTTTTTGTTGTATTGGATAGCCGAGTACAGAGATATGAGCCCACTTCACGCTGTTACTCTCTGAAACAGGATAGCCTCAAGAACAGCTAAGTTTAGATTTAAGTTTTAGTTTACATTCAACATTTAACACATTTTCAGTCTTAAACAATAACCTACACCTTGAATAATATCGGACAGACTATATTTAGTGGTTAGTTCGTCAAGAACCTTCATGTCAATTTAGTATTGAAAATATGATGTAGTTCTTAGGTTTCATTACATTACTTCTGGTAATAGTATTACTTTCATAGATATTATTATTGCACTATTTTAACAGATGAATAACCAAACATAGATTCTAGAATCTACGGGTTGCAACATCTTCGATTTAACATCATATAAAATATATCAAATTAATTAAAGTATTGCTACATTTCATATATTTTCTTTAACTTTACATGTCTTGTATTTTATCATAGTTGTTTTCATAGATATTTGTACAATTCTTAATACCACTTTCTTTGACATTACAACCACTATATTTACTAGAACTCTACAATGTCATGTACCAGCAAGGAACATCATGAATAAATATAGTCATTAGTTTTAAGTAATATACAACTGTGTTTTCTTTCTCTGTACATGCCTGGCGCACAATATCTATATTTTTTGTTTATTGTTATTGATTAGTTTTCTCTAGTGAAATACCTTATCCACGACTGCTCTCCGATGAAAAGCTGCCGTTCGTAGTGGTAATGTTTGATAAAAAAAATGCTACACTGTTAAAACTGTACTATGTTGAATGGGTTTGCTCTCAATAATAAGACTATTGTTGAAAATGCCTTATTGTTTTTTTTTCTATGTAACGATTGAAAAAAGAAACAATTTTATTTAAAACAGAACACTAGAATACTAAAATGTTTATTTTCTACTGAATAAATAAAGACCCTTCCATTTTTTCCATACATTACAACGCGGCCAGTTTATAAAAATAAAACCCTCGACGTGTAAACCCAATTTTGATTTAACATTAACAATCGATCACATCGTCTGTAAACATGAACGAACGTTTTATTGAATCGAACTAAAATTAACAAACCCAGAATAACAAATATACAATTTCCTATTTAAAAACATCAATCATAACTGCCGAATGGGGGAATAAAAAAGGTAAATATTGTTATTTCGTGCACGGCACTGTTCTATTAAAGGTTTGCTACGGCCGAAGTGGGCAACCGTTTAGGACTTATTTATTTAGAATGGGGATTGAAATTTCCGACGCGTCCCTTTTGAATGGGATGGGAAATATTATTTTAGGTTATCGGTACGGGGGAGATTTATTTAGCCAGTTTAAACTTGTAGAAACAATAATCTTTATAATAGATAAAACTACAAATATGTAATAAGAAAAATTAAATTAATTCCCTAAAGTGTGATATTTACGATGTGTATATCAATTAAGTAGATATCAATCGGCAACGGCCCAGCTACGTCGAAACACCGGTTCCATTAGAACACAGAAGTTAAGCGACGTAAGGCGATACTAGTGGATGGACGGGTGACCGGTTCCAAACTCTGTATCGTGCTGTTATCCAAAAAAGGCAAAAGTGTAAAATCTATTAACACACACTGCTCATT